GGGGTATTTTTCTTCAGTTTTGCAAGACAAAGTATACAAAATGAATAGAGCAAAAGATTGGGGCAGGAATATAACTTGTGTGTTCCAAAAACTAACCTCTCCATGTTCCTCCTTTTTGCTCTGCGCAAAGCTACTATTCCTTCTTTTGCAAGTGCATCCAAGGAAAATGGGTCAATTCCCTACAAGTGAAAAAGAAGTATGTATTAGGAAGACTATCGGTCCAGCACTAAGGACCAAATTCTACATTCAGTTCCTACTAAAAAACAGGAGCTACGCACATGTATATGAAAATACACTGCTAACTAAGCCTGTCTAAAGCTTGTCTGAAGAAGCCTATACAGTTAGCCAAAAATAAACCACACCTGCTGAGAACATCAAAATTTTTAGGTTTCCCCCCTCCCCCTGCCGGCTATCTTACCTTTTGATTGATCACAATAAATCCTTTATCTGAATCACCACAGACTCTCTTTTTCAAATCTATTATTTTGTTCACTCGGTCTTCAATGAATTTTCTTTCAGCTTTTACCAATTTCTCTCTTTCTTCTGCATTCTTATAAAAGAATCCTGAGCTCACCTCTCTGAAAAGAAGAAATTGTTCAACACTACTATTAGTGCTCTACGATGTTAAAAAAATATAATCACCAAAATCAAGGACGACTTGTGTTTCACCGAAGACATCAATTTGCTAGGCCTATCATGGTACAGGACTATGAGGCATATAGGTCTTATGAATGTAGGGTGAAAGGAAAAGGATTCCTTCCAATACAGAGTTATAGCACAAAATTATTCTAGCAGAGTTACATTGAGGGAACTATGAAGTTTACTTGGGTATTCACTGTGCAATGCAAGACTGAGGCATAAAGGAAGATTTCCTGTCATTCAATTTGCTAACAGAAGGGACTATTACACTAGGGCCAGGTCTACACTCGTGGCTTCTTGTGCGAGTAATAAGCAAATGAGGCTAAGCATGGAATATCGCTGAGCCTCATTTGCATACCTAATGAGCCACTTTTTTCCCCCCTTCAGAAGAGGCTCTTGTGCAAGAAGGAGTGTCTACACTGCCCATTCTTGCGCAAGAAAAACCCTCAAGCAATGCCGTTCTTCCTGAAAAGTAATAGGTGTAATGACATTGCGCAAGAGGGTTTCTTGCACACGAAGGTAGACACTCCTTCTTGCACAAGCGCCTCGTCTGAAAAAAAAAAGTGGCTCATTAGGTACAGTATACAAATGAGGCGATATTCCACACGTAGCCTCATCTGCATATTACTCGCACAAGAAGTCGCGAGTGTAGACATAGCCCAGATGTGTCCACAAATCCAGCCACCTCAGAAGTCAAGATCATCACTCCATTACTTTGGAATGAAACATTTGACTTAATTTCCTCATTTACACAAACTAGGCCTGTTGTATTTTTTTCATTGAGGGATACTCTTTAATATTTTAAAAGGTTTAAAAGACATGTAAATATTAATTCACATTACTCAAGTCAAATATATTTCTTCGCTTCATTTTTGGTGACTACTTACGTTTTTTCATATTCTAGTGATACATTGCAAGTAAGGATGTAAGCATCCTCCACTCTTTTCTTCATGTCAGGATGACGAGCACCATGATCCAAAACAAGTCCTTTAATCAGCCTGTAAAAAGTCAGTAAGGTGACTTGTAAGAAATCCTTTATACCCAGGGTAGGAAGTGTCTATAGCAGCGGTTCCCAGCCTTTTCCAGATGGGGACCCATTTTGACAATTCAGGAAGACTTGGTGACCCCAGGGCAATTAAAAAAATGTGTGAATGGCTCTTTAAGAGCCCCTTGGGGAGACACCTGGAGACCCCTTTGAAATGTAATGGCGACCCATATTTAGGTCCCAACCCATAGGTTGAGAAACCCTGGTCTACAGTCATAAAACTTATACCATAGTTGATTAAAAATAATTATGTACCATACTACCATATCAACCATGTACATGGCCAACCAAGAAGCTTATCGGTTAACCTTCATGGTTACACGCTGGTTCCCTATGTGCACCTGCGCCCGGGAGTCAACTGCCACTCCCCCATATGTAAGCACTGACGTTTTCAGCAGTTACTTAAATGCATTTTAACATCGCTGATATTAAGAATTCACTGGATCGTGTATCCTTCTTGCATGGATATGCTAACTTTACACAGAGCATACCGTTTAGGAATAAGTTAAAAGGAAATATAATATAGCATAGTGTCTGACTGCATTAGCTACTAAAGAAGCCAATGCAGAATTCATCTATGCCTCTGAAGTTAAAACATATCTACACTTGTTTTGTAATTTCAAACAATTTTGAAGCATTATGGTCTCAATACAATCTGAGTATTATTTTATACATCTTCACTTAAGGATTAAAGAGCCAACCCATCCTGCCAATGTCTGAGTCAAAAGAGATGAAGAACTTGATTCCTATTCACCTTCCATTTTTGATCAACTACCTAAAACTTTCACTTTCTTTCCATTGGAAGTGGACTTGTATGCCAAGAGAGATAGAGATTTTTGAAAGTGTAACAGATATACACAGATGTCCCTCGTGTACATTTTACACTTGAAATAAATGAACAGTGGTGGTGATGTTCAAAAATAGAGTCGATTCTCCAGCATGGAGAGAGATTATTTAGTGTCATTTATATCCAGTCCTTCCCCAGCCTGCTTTACTAATCTAACAAAGCCTTTTTTCTGTGATATTTCGTCATGTTTATTTACTTTGTGATTCTGATGGTATTTTGCCATTAGTTGGTTTTGTATTCCCCCACCAAGTAATGAGTTTCTTTTCAAACACAACACGGGCAAGGGGGAAAAACAAAATAAAAACCCCCCCACCACACAACAGGAAAATGCAACCGTAAATTGACAAAAACTGGCAAAGGAGCTAAGTGGCGGCATAACTGAAAACAATTCAGTTTCAAGTTATGATTAAACCTACCAACATTTTACAGCTACTTACGCTGTTTCAGTTTCTGACTTATGCTTCATCTCCATAATCTCAACCATGTAGAGGTCAATAGGCTCATTTGGTTTCTTGATGGCCAAAACAGCATCTACAACAGCCTGAAGTAAAAGAACGCTTTAATAAAAACAATGTAACACACGAGCGCATCTTTCATACATTTTCATCACTCCCACATGTATTTACAGAAAACCTGGAATTCCTTACACAAAAGGACCTTAAGATATAACAGACAACACATGCATACTTGCCTCTGTTAAGATATCAGCAAGTTCTGCATGAACTTTAGTACGCAGGGACGTTCTGGCAACATCCACAAGAGTTTCTCTGTCCATCTCCTTGGTTACTTTGACTTTCTCCAAGACTTCAAGTGCCTTTTCCTTTGCTGCTTCAAATCCTTCCGTGACTATTCTAGGGTGCAAGCCCTAATATTTTTTTTTAAAACAAAAAATAACAGAATGGTGAGTGGACATTTTTTCCACACCTGAAACTCCCATTTACTAGCTTTAATTGAAAAGTTAGACTCAAAGTGCTATCCTCATATTTGAGATATTACAATCTTACAACTCAAAGTCATGGATAAAGTTAGAATTTACATACTACAGAGGAAAAAAGTGTACTGTCCTTCTGAATACATATAAAAGGAAAGGCACTCCTTCTAATGCAGAGGTAAAGTACAGATTATTCTCGCACAGAGTTATAGCCAAGGGAGCTACAAAGCACACTTGGGTGTTCACTGTGCAACCTGAAATAAAGTAGCAACCTAAGCCTCTTAGAATATACACTAAGCAGCGATTCCTTACCTCTAGAAGGGTTCTCATCTTTTTTTGAGCCTCCCACCTATGCTATAAAAACTCCCTAGCCCAGCTGTGCCATAACTCTGCATATAAAAGCCAGAGCCAGTATTAGGAAGTAGCAAGTATGGCAGCTGCCCAAGGCCAGGAGCCACAGGGGACCCTGCAAAGTTAAGCCCAGGTGGCAGAGCTGAGGGCCACAAGCCTCTGCTTTCTGCCCCAAGCCCCAGCGAATCTAACCCTCACCCAGCTTTGTGCCCCCTCCCCGGACACAACTCCTGGTTGAAAACCACTGCTCTAGACAGGTGTCTTCTAATTGTATGACCCCAAGAGACAAGAGCCTTAAATCTAAAACAGAAATAAGTCAAATATGAATTGTAGACAAGATACATCCTATATCCATCACTGCTGTCGACCTGTAATAATGCAACTCCAGTTAGTGTACACACACACAAATAATTTTTTCCTTTGGGATGACAGAATGATGTCCCCTTCCCCCATCCAAACCCAATTGGCTGGGGGGGAGGGGGAAAAGAGCCAGGGTTGCCCCACACCCTCACATCCCTCCTGCCAAGACCCCACACCCTCTCAATTACCCCTTCCACTGATACCCCCCTCTGGCCCCCTGGCCAGACACCTACCGAGGGATGTGGGGGGAGAGGAGGCAAGCATAGCAAGCACGGGGCACAGCCACCCCCCCGTAAAACTTTATTTTAGTTTTTACCTAATGTAACCCCACACAAAAAAAAACTCTCTCAAAAGGAGTCATTAAGATCTGTAACTAAAAGTTTTTATGAACACGGAACATTAACTGCAATGGTGCTCAATAGCTTCGTAAGGGAAATGTTCACTCATTTTCTTGTGAAAATAAGACTCATCTGTACCTCAGAAATATAGAGGTCCGCCTGCTTTAGCAGCTCTCCAATGATCAGAACATTTGAAGTGGTACCATCTCCAGTGATGTCATCCTGTGCTGTTGCTACTTTTGCTATCAAGGAAGCTGTTGGGTGCTGTATTTGCTAAACAAAACGAAAAACATAACACATGCACTGAACAATAAAACTTGCTGAATTGTTATGGGAGTATCCATCAGAAACCAATTTAATATTTATATCTAGCCACTGCTTTTCATAAAAATAATCCAAATGCCAGTCACTGTTGGTATTAGGGATGTTAAATCCCATTTAATTAGTTAACTGATTAAATGGCATAGGGATGCTGGGGGGAGCAGCAGCAGCAGCGGGCAAAACATGGAGTCCCCCCTCCTAGGCAAGTAGCAGAGCCATGGGGGAGATGAGAAGGCAAAGCCCCAGGTGACAGCAGGGCAGCCTGGAGGAAAAGTGGAGACCCCAATACATTGACCTCCTCTGGTCCAAGACAAGTCAGGTCCCGAGGATGCGGGATCAGAGAGGTTGAAGTCAGATCTGTACTAGGGCTGTTAAAATTCAGTTGAGTGCAACTGCTGAAATTGTTTATACCGTTGCACAGGAGAGGAGGCAGCTCCCAGAGTGTAGACCCATAGAATCCTAAGGCTGGAAGAGACCTCAGGAAGTCATTGAGCCCAGCCCCCTTCCCAAAGCAGGACCAATCCCAACTAAAGCATCCTAGACAGGATTTTCTCAAGCCGGGTCTTAAACTCTAGGGATGGAGATTCTACCACCTCCCCAAGGAACCCATTCCAGTGCTTTACCACCCTCCCAGTGAAACATTTTCCTAATATCCAACCTAGACTTCCCCCACTGTAACTTGAGACCATTGCTCCTTGTTCAGCCATCTGTCACTACGGAGAACAGCCTCTCTCTATCCTCTTTGGAACTTCCCTTCAGGAAGGTGAAGGCTGCTATCAAATCCCCCCTCACTCTTCTTTTCCACAGACTAAAGAAGCCCAAATCCCTTAGCCTCTCCTCATAGGTCAAGTGCTCCAGCTCCCTAATCATTTTGGTTGCCCACTGCTGGACCCTCTCCACATCCTCTCTGTAGTGGAGGCCCAGAATTGGACACAATACTCCAGATATGGCCTCACCAATGCCAAATCAAAGGGATAATCATTTCTTTAGATCTGCTGGAAATGCTCCTCCTAATGTACCCTAATATGCCATTAGCCTTCTTGGCTACAAGGGCACACTTGACTCATATCCAGCTTCTCATCCACTGTAATCCCCAGGTCCTTTTCAGGGAACTTCTAATTAGCCATTCAGTTCCCAGCCTGTAGCACTGCTTGGGATTTTTCCATCCCAAGTGCAAGATTGTGTACCCGGGGTCTGCATGTAATTGTGAAGGTTAATCGTCGACTCCAGGTTCATCAGTTATCCATGTACATGATTACACTTTCACATTCCTTATCTGCAGCTTCCTAAATTTAGCCTTACTTCTACAGGTACACATGCAGAGAGCCTTCCCTTTGCACCAGAATCGCAGGCATTTCAGAAATTAGACACTTTCTGAAAATAGTGGACTCATATTTAAATTAATGTTAAATAAACTCAATAGCTCAGACGCTGTCTTGGTTCTCTCTCTGCTACCCTTGATGTGCTGCTGATCCTTGATCAGATGCAAGACTGGGGCTTCAGAGACATACAAGTATCATGTGAAAGTGCTGGATAAAACACACACATATGTAAGAACAACAAGCAGGACACTGAATCAAACCGATCGAGATCGGTAGGGAAGGTATCTTGTTTGCTAGTGAGGGAACAGACGCAGGAAGCCTATGTTCACTATGGAATGATCCGCTTTACAGTTGAGCAGCCAGGAGACGTAGAGCCCCGTAGAGAAGCCCCGTGCAACCCCCCTGCGCAGGGCCCAGCCACCCTCTTCCCCCCTGCGGCGGCGACGGGGCTCACTCACCATTTCGTGAAGGAGCACGTTGCCATCTTTGGTCAGCTTGATCTCGCCGGCCCCGGACACCAGCCTGCAAGAAGCAGCATCATGATGCAGAACCGCCG